ATGTGATTAGATTCAATTGTATTTCCATGCATTTCCTATTAATCAAAATTATTTTTTTCTTTTCAAATAAAAAAAATGTATTAGAATATTTGGTTTAATGTAGTATTAATGAATATATGAAAACATTCATTTGCTATGTATTTCAATATATATAATGTTTAATATATACATTTAATATTACACAATCATATAATAATAGCAATGAGTAAAACTGTTAATATGGTAGTGTTCAATGTGAGAAATCAGAAAAGTATGGCCATATGTAGGGCTGATGACTGGCTGTCAATCTGTGCTCCTTGGCAAACAGCTTCCTTGGCATATACAATAGAGGTTTCAAAATTCACATGAAGATGTCACCTTTTAAAAAATTGTTTTTAGTGGCCACTGGCATCAGAAATAGTTTTTTTAAGCCGTGTGTGTGTGTGTGTGTGTGTGTGTGTGTGTGTGTGTGTGTGTGTGTGTGTGTAGGGTATCCATTCACCTAGAGCTCCATATGTTGACAGGTCAGACAAATAGGTTCTTTTAAGCCTCTTTTTTTAAAGTCAGAACCTATGTTGTTGTTGTTGTTGTTGTTGTTGTTGTTTTTCCCATAGGGAAAAAGGAATGGAGAAGAAGCAGATTTATGAAAACAAGCACAAAAAAAAATAACTGCCTGGGCTTTGGAAAACCTGGAGGATGCTCATAATAGTTTTCAGCATCCTAATTCAGTCAGGCAGGGTTGGACCACTTCCATAAAACAGTCTGGGCATATTTTCATGGGACCAGGCAATAAGGCAGAATTTCCGATGCCAGTAGGTCAATGGCGTTCCCTCCTCCCTCACCTAAAAAAGGACAAGCATTACAAGTAGCCTGATTGCAAGATATCCAGTTTCCTTTTGGGGCAGTCCTTCAATATATCCATGCATACATACATAGATACATACATACATACATGCATGTATATATACACACATATATACATATATAATTAATAATAATATATTGTTCTACATATACATATAGAATGCAGAGGTCACTTCAGTTAAATTTAGCTTCTATTGGATACCTACTATGAAACAGGAAGGTCTTTCTTTATTTGCCTTTTTTATTATTCCATAGAAAGAATTTGGAGGACAGAAAGTAACATTCCATTAAATTGTCCAAATGTTGACTTACCCAAAAGACTAATATATGAATATCAAGGTGAAAATTTCTTAGAAGCTGGTTCATTCTGGTCCCCACACCTCAAGGAGAGCTTGTTAAGTCTCTACTTCCTAAATCCTGTTCCAAACCTTTCTGTGACTTTTCAATTTCAATTTAATCTTGTCTTCTATTTAATCTGCTTTAATGTTTCTGATATTACCCTGCCTATATTAACTGCTATTATAATAATTATAGCATAAAGTATTGGTTATCATTTCTTGCTTTCTGAAATATTATATACTTCTTAATGTTTAAATTGTACCAGTAATGCTGATCAATCAACAAACATTTATTAACCACCAGCTGTGTGTCAGGGACTGTGCTAGGTATTGGGCAAAGAAATATAATTTATCTTTAAAAATATAGTAATTAGTTCGAGGAAATTTCCTTCTGCGTTACCAGAGTGTTATATAACATTACTTTTTCCCACTCTTCTTTTTCCTTTCTTGATTTATTTTTTGTTGGCCTTAATCGTCCACCTCAATTCGTTCCCTTAGGGCATAGATTAAAAAGTGTGACATTCTCTACAAGAATTCCTCTACAGATCACCTCTTTTTATCCTAAACCAATTGGTTGGTGACCACTGCTGATCCATCTCCCTTCTTCTTTCCCCAAGTAAATGACAAAATTATGCCCTGGAGGAAGATATGACATTCTCTGAAAAAATGTGAATTAGACTGCTTATATGTTTTTCTCTCCTAGTTCTTCTTTCATATTATCTAGCACCTTGAAGAACAGAATGTTGTAAAATAAAGGTGATATAGTCAGAACTTTCTGACTAGTCAATAATCCAAGACTACAGAGTGAAATTTAATGTCCATCACTAAGGATGATGGCTGATGCACAATACTGTCAATTAAGACGCAGCCGTGCTAGTGTTAAAGTCCATTTATAAAATGTTAAAAAGCAAACCATATACTGATATACTTTATCAGTGTAATATATCTAATATTTAAAAACAGCCTTGGTTCTATTTCTTACTCTGTATTTCTTCTTACCCTTGCTTATAAATTGTGCAAAAACTCCTAGGCAGCTCTATGAGATGCATCATAATGAAATGCATTTGAAAATGTTTTATGTCATTTAATATAGTTTTCTCTACCCCTAAAATACAAGACACACAGATTTTGTTTCTATATGTTGAATGATCTCAAAGTAAGGCACTTTATTCTTTGACTATATTCTGGGAAATTAAACTCTGTCAGAGGGTGCATATAAAGTATTTTTAGTATTTCATAAACTCGGTCATATAGGAGAATAAGCAGACAAATTGAAATCTGTAAGAAATTAGATCAGGACCAAAGAAACTAGTATAGGAGATAGTAAATGATAACATTTAAATTATTACTCAAAGTGGTGGTACCTGTTTAGACATATCAAACTCATTGTCACTTTGATATATGACTAGTGAATTTTGAAAATATCTACTACCTTATAAACTATGAATTTAAAGTGCTAGATATAGAATCAACCTCTTGAAACCTAGAAAGAGTTAATGCCTCCTTAAAGATATCTCTTCTGAGATCAATAATGATTGAAGATAGAATAGGAGAAATTACTGATTTTGTTTTACTCTCTGTGTTGTGATTAGGAGAAAATGGTAGTTTTCAGTTCTTACTTACAAAGCTGAATTATAGCAGGGGATGTACTGAAGGGTCAACTTAGAACATGACAATTTGACACTTGGGAAGTAACTTACTCCCTGATAGGACCTGGACTCTTATCATTCCTGGTACATTTTTGGAAAGCAAAATATAGTATCCTGAGATAATGGAAATATCAGTTAAAATTATGCATCAATTAAAATAAGGATCAAGATTAAACTTTGCACCATTCCTAGGAGAAAGCGTACTTATTGACAATAAAGCTGAATTCATAATGTCTTTCTTGGTCCATACAAGTTATTTTTCCTAATATTGTTTATGTCCATGGCATTTACCCTTTACTGAAGCTTGGTTGTAAACTCCTTGCTTATCTTGTCTTCCTGCTGACCCAAGTTTAAACAAAAAGAAAAGAAAAGAAAAGAAAAGACTTCTCCAGTGCTATTGTCTAGAATATTTAAACTAGTACTATTCCAAACACTAGATCTGTACTCCTGGGTACAGTTCCTTAGAAAGACATTTTTTATAAATTAATTTTGAGCACTAGATTATGAGGACTCAGAGAGGCAGATACTTTTTTGTCCAAATAAAGTTCCTGACAAAATCGATTTTCCAACTCTACTTTCACAATTTTAACCTGAATGAAAATTCCATGGAAGAATGAATTTCATTTCCATATATAAATTGGTAAGAACAGTTTCCAATTAATGCCATTTTATGATTGTAATTTATGTGTTGTGGACAGCAGTTCATTAGGAAATGAACTGAAACTATTACCTCATTTCACATAGGTCACTGAACAGTAATCAAATGGTACCAGCTTTCAGCCATTACTACTTTGAGCTGAATTTGAACCACTGACCCACGAGAAAGACTGCATCCTATTTCAAATTTAGGGAAAAAAAAAGAATCATGGAATTTAAGCATTTGTGACCTCAGAATCTTGGCTGTAACTATGTTATTTTTCTTTGAAAAGTAAAAACAAAACCAAAAAAATCAATAATATGCCTTCAGAGAAAATTAAGAATAAGAACATGAACTATAATTAGAACTATTTTCTATTTTTTTTTTGAAGATAGGGACAACTGTTAATATTTCTGTCAAAAAGGTAGCCACATGAAAAGCCCATTTGAGTGTTATGTAGAGTGAGAATTTTATATATATATATATATATATTTCCCTAAAGACTGTACCCAAAGTTGACTGCTTATGTGATCCCATCTGGCAGTGGCACCATGGTATAAATTTAAAAGGCTTAAATACTTTCAGTATGGCTATAAGATTAATATTTCAGCAATATGTTTGGCCAGTAAGTACTACTAGTATGGTGATTAAACAATGAATTACTAGCAATAAAATATTTTAATTATTTTTGTGATAGAGACAGGGACTGTACCTCAGGAACTGCAGGGTTAAGGAAGTCCATCTACCAAAGCAAGTGGTCATTTTCTCTTTATCTTAAAGAATTAAAAAATTGCTTAGAGCATGGAGAAGTAACACAGGGCCAACCATCCATTATGTCAATTGCTGGGCTTTAACCAACTTCTTCCTGTTGTTTCTGGCTATACTGCTACAATGAATAAAACCTATTTCAGTTAATTTAAGAATAAATACAATGCATTGTTTTATAAAATGACTGATAATTGTATAGAATATGTACACAGTCCATTGTCTATCATTAAGTTTTAGTGTTAGAAATGTCCACATCATAATGACTATCTTAGAAGTGTAATGCAGTCACATTATGTTATTATTGATCCAGGAAAATTAAAATTGATATAAAAAACCATCAGTCCTGTGGAATGCATTTTCCTATTTCTTTTTAATGAAACGTGATCCTCAATATTACCTTGCCATCATTGTAGCCATTCTGGATTGTTTCTTTTCTTTTCTTATCACATTTTACAAAGTTTTTAAGTAATATTTCATGACCCTAAAATAGAGTTAATTGGTAATTTTTTTTCTGGTACCTTGCTTATATAATGTGTAACAACAGAGTTAAAATTTTATTTTTTTAAAGTTAACATGTAAAAAAAAATGTTCCTAAGTTCTGTTGCAAAGGAGATGTTTATGGTTTGTTCCAATTTCAAAACCAAAAACAAGATTTTGAAAACCTTAGGATGCAATTAAACCTATTTCAGAAAGACAACCAAATATGTGCAATGTTATTGAACTAAGAAGAGCATTAATCAGTATGTCCTGTGCTCTTCTTTGTAGTCTCAGCGCCGTGTTACGTTTCACCTCCCTGATGGTTCTCAAGAAAGCTGCAGTGACAGTGGTCTAGGAGACCATGAGCCTGTGGGTAGTGGAACCCTGATCTCACACCCTCTTCCTCTGGTTCAGCCACAGGACGAATTCTACGACCAGGCCTCACCGGACAAGAGGACTGAAGCTGATGGAAATTCTGACCCCAATTCTGGTGAGTTAGCCTTTAAAAAGTTAATTATGGCATCTTCCTATTGTTTTCTCCCAGTAGTGAGTGCTGAATGATTAAAACTATAGAACCTAAGAGTGACTAGTCTATCTTAATACTAATGTGTGTTTTGAAGCATACTAAGTCTAGTTAGTCTGGAATTTTAGATATCATTGTTGACTGATGAAATCTGAAGGTCTTCTTGAAATGTATATGTTGTTGGTAGAGAATAATTAAGGAAAAAAATGGATAAATATTAAGTTTTTTTTTCCTGTAGCATATTCATAGTAGGTACATAGGTAACATGATCCTCTTTGCTTGTCTAATAGGAGTCAAGACCAACTACTTTACTCTTCAATGGAGACTTTAAGTTCAAATAGTCATCTATACAGATGGATAGAGAGCTAAATATTTTTGCTTTCCATGCCTACTATGTCATTATTTGATTTATTTGTTGCCTTAACTGTCTCGTTCCATGTATGTGTGTGTGTGTGTGTGTGTGTGTGAGAGAGAGAGAGAGAGATAAAAAGATATAGATACAAATAAAAATATAGGTATCAATACTTTACAGCCTTTACAGTAATATCTCCTTCCTCTGAAAGTATAATGCCCATAATTCCATTAGGGCAATCATAGATCTTGAACCCAAAGTTTTGCATGTTATGATTCCCCTTACAGCCAGAATTCTCAAAAAATTCAAGATTGGTACTATCAAAGTATAGTGTATGTCATCAGGAACTTTCAAGAACACATGACTGTGAGAGCAGTTATTGTGTTAATTAATAATATTGGAAATGGCAAATATGCAGTCAGAAATCAGTGGTGCTTTTTAGGTTATATTACTTATAAGAATGAAGATAGCTACATTTCTTTAGCCATCAATGGCCAGTCAGTCATCTATTTTATAAATCACCTGAACTAATTAAGAAAGGATTTCAGTGACGAAAAATGCATTGGTAAAATTATACCATACATTCCTTTAATATGCCAAAGGCTTTTTAAGAGTTAAGATTCATTTTTCTGCTACCCAAAAGAATAGAAGAATTTGGCTGTTCAGTCTATCAAGAAAGAACATATTGTTAAATGGCTTTTGTAGACAAATAGAACTTGAATTTGGGTTTCTCAAAGATCAAAGATTATTGATGAATTTGTTTTATAGAATAATAAGAATATGTGCCTTTGAAAACATTAAAGTCTAAATTCTTGGGAAATCTATGATATATACAAGTTATAACAATGGTTAATAGGGTATAAATACTAATTTCCTATGTGAATTATCGTAGGAGATTGAATAACATATATATATTATAATTGTATATATATAATCATGTAAATTCATTTTTTTTCTCTTCTAGATAATTTAAAAAGCTAACACAGCTTTATTTATTTGTTAGTTATTGGGAAAATATACCTAAAAATAGAAGTATTACATCCATTAAATTTGCTTTTATGAAATAAAGGAACATTCTGTAAGATGTTATCTTTAAGTATTAGGGTCATTTACACTTAAATAACAGTAATTGAATCAAGATGATAGTTGGACTCTTTTACTTTAACTAGGGGTATACAGAAGTCTTTTCTACTTTTTGTCTTAGACTGTTTAGTCTTTGAGAATTCCTACACAATTACTAGTCAAGTTAACAAGCATCTATTAAGTGTTTACTATGTGCCGCTCACTGTGCTAAGCACTGAGGTTACAAGGAAACATAAAAGACAGTCCCTGCTTTCCAGGAGTTCACAGTTCAATGGGACATACAAAATGAAAACAACTGTCTGCCAACACAATATTTATTGTATGAATTGATGATAAACAGAGGGAAGAAAGTATGATTAAAGGGGATCAGGAGAAATGTCTTGTGAAAGGTAGGATGTTAGGTGAGACTTGAAAGAAATCAAGGATCTCAGAATATAGAAATGAGGACAGAGAATTCTGGGCATGATGGGTGACAATGATAGGCCAAGAGTTGAGAGATGTAGTGTCTTGTGCTAGGAACTATGATCAGGCCAGTGTCACTGGATCACAGAATGTATATATATATATATGTATATATATATATATATATATATACATATATATATACATATATATATATATATATATGTATATATATACATATATATATGTATATATATATGTATATATATATATATATACACATATATATATATGTGGTGGTGAGTGCAATGTAAAAAGATTTTCAAGGAAGGAGAAAGATTATGAAGGGCTTTGCATGCCGTATTATTTTATATTTGGTCTTGGAGGTGATAGGGAGACACTGGAGTCTATTTAATAGAAGAGTGACATGGGCAGATCTGTGCTTTAATATCATTTAGAAAGCTGAATAAAGAATGTACTGAAGTGAGAGAGAGACTTTAGGCAAGGAGATCAATCAGTATGCTATTGCATTAGTTCAAATGTAAGATGATAATAGTCTATACCATAATGGTGACTATATCAGAATGGAGAACATTTGTAGGAGAGGTATTACAAAGCTAAAATCAAAATGACTTTTCAACACGCTGGATTTGGGGGTTGATAGAGTGAGAAGTCAAGGATAATGCATAGGTTGTAAGTTTTGGGTGACTGAAAGATGGTGGTGCCATCCACAGTTATTATGAAGAGTGGTAGATTTTGGGGAAAAAACAAGTTCCAAGTCAAATATATTGAACTTAAGGTGCTCATGGGACTTCCAGTTTGAGATGTCTAGTAGATAATTGAAGATAAAATCTGGAAATTAGGAAAGAGATTAAAGCTTGAGAAGTAGATCTGAGAATCATCTACATAGAATTGATGATTGAATCTGGGGTAGCTGATGAGATAATTGAGCAAACTAGAAGAGTGAGAAAAGAGGAGACAACCTAGGATAGAGCCTTGAGGGACACCTATGATTAATGGGTATGACCTAGAGGAAGATCCAGAAAGGGAGAATGAGAAGAAAAGGAGATAGTGAAGAACTCAACAGATCAGTATCAGAAACAGAGAAGAGAATATAAAGGAGAATAGAGTGATCAGTCAACAGGGTCAAAAGCTGCAGAGAGGTAAAGAGGAATAAGGATTGAGAAAATTAGAAATTTAGACAAGAAAAATTAGATTTGTAATTAATTAAGAGATTATTAGCAACTTTGGAAAGAACATTTTCAGTTGAATGATGAGTTTGGAAGCAGTTTGAAGAGTTAAGAAGAGAAGATGAAGAAAGGAAATGAAATAACTGATTTTAGATGTCCTTCTCAAGGAATTTAACCACAAAAGGAGGCTAGATATGCAATTATCTAGTGGGTTGGAAAGATCAAATGGGAATAGATGGAGACATAGGCTTACTTGTAGGCAATAGGGAGGTGGCCAGTAGACAGAGAGGAATAGAAGATAAATTAAAAAGTAATGATGATAGGTAATAGATTAGAATTATTTGTCCATAGGTAGGGGTTTGCCTTGACAAGAAGAAGGGCCACTTCACATCAGACAGGAATGAAGGAAGAGATACTAGTAGCATGTGAGGGATGGGAGATGAGGAGGTGGGTATGTGGGGGAACTCTTAGTGAACTATCTCATTTTTTTCAGTGAAATAAGAAGCAAGATTCTCAGTAGAAAGGATAGGAGAAAGGACCTGAGGGAAGGTTTCCTCAACTGTTAAATGGGGATAATAATAACATCCACCTTCCACTGTTTTTATGAGGATCAAATGTTTAACACAGTACTTGGCACATAGAAGATGCTTAATAGAACCTTTCTTTCCTCTTCCTTACTTCCTTCCTCCCATCCTTCCTCCTTTCCATCCTTTCTTCCAGTGCCCCCAGTTAACTATTATTTTACTTTACAAAAATGATTTTTTCTTTTTAATATTCTTTTCTTTTTTTAATTTTGAGTTCCAAATTCTCCCCCTCCCATCTACCCATTCTCCACCCACTGAGAAGTCAAGCAATGTGTTATCAATTATACATGTGGAAATCATGCAAAATATATTTCCATTTTAGCCATATTAAAAAAAACAATAAAAATAAAGGAAAATGAGAAAATTGCACTTCAATTTGTACTTAGAGTTCCTTTCTCTTTTTGGAGGTGGATAGCTTTTTTTTCATCATGAGTTCTATGGAATTGTCTTGGATCATTTATTGATCAGAATAGCCAAGTCTCTCACAATTGATCATTATCATAATATTACTGTTATTGTGCACAATGATCTCCTGATTCTTCTCACTTCACTTTGTATTAGTTCATATAGATCTTGCCATGTTTTTTCTAAAACTACCTCCCTTCTTATTTCTTCTATGATGAATAGTAATTCATCATAATCACATGCCACAACTTGTTCAGCCATTTCCCAATTGATGAGCAACCCCTTAATTTCTAATTTTTTGCCACCACAAAAAGAGCTATTATAAATATAGGGGGCCCCCCTTCTCTCTCTCTCTCTCTCTCTCTCTCTCTCTCTCTCTCTCTCTCTCTCTCTCTCTCTCCATACATATATGTGTGTGTGTATGTGTGTGTGTAGTATGTGTAGATATATACATATATATGTGTATATATATATATATATATATATATATATATATATATATATATATATACACATATATATGCATACACATACACACACGTATATCCCTTAGGTACAGATCTAGTAGTGGTATTACTGGGTCAAAGGGCATGCACAGCTTTATAGCCCTTGGGCAAAGTTCTGAATCATTCTTTAGAATGATTGGACCAATTCACAACTATACCAACACTGCATTAGCGTACCTATTTTCTCCTTTAGCATTTGTCATTTCTGATAGGTGTGAGGTGGTACCTCAGAGTTATTTTAATTTGCATTTCTCTAATCAATAGTGATTTAGAGTATTTTTATATGACTATAGATAGCTTTGATTTCTTTTTCAGAAAAGTTCTCTATATATTTGAGAAATAAGTACTTTATTAGAGAAACTTGCTGTAAAAATTTGGATAGTCCTTCATTGTCTATAGTAGACAATGTACTTTTTAGTACTTTAGGTACTTTTCAGCAAAATGT